TGATGCCCAGGAACCTTAGAAGTCACTCTGGGCCTCTGCGACATCTACAATAAGAGTTTTCTGATTCCCCTTTGGAACTTTCCATGCTTCTGCTAAGCACAGGTGGCTCCTACATGGTCTCTATGAGACAGTCAACTTTGAATGAATGCCAAGAAGCCCACCATGCATGGTACCCACCTTGTTACTATTCTCCCATTCTACCCTCTGACTTCCAGATGCCATCTGGCTGTCCTGCCTCTGGGTTTCATCCTTCTTGCGCATAGCCTCACACTTTCAGACACAAAAGTGATTGTTGAACTAGAGGAATGCTTTCCCCCAACAGGAAAATGAGCCCTAACTGACAGGTGTTTGGCTCACACCTGCCCATCAACAGAGGAATGATCATGTGTACATACACATGTTGTCCAGGATCCCACGGCCCAGGTGACCCATCTTGGTTCCTGGCGATCTTCTCCCTTAGTAGACTCTAAGCTTGCTGAGGCTGTGTTGGTCTCATCCTCTTACGTTTGTGTCCTCCATGTCCCTGGGTATGTGTACATTTTTGCAAAGTGTATATACCAAAATAAAACTGCAATTGTATGCTATTTAATAAGATGAGTAATTTTCCCTCAAGAGATACTACTAATTATTCTCTAGTGTTTACAATTCTATGCACAGAACACAGCATAAATAGTCCTTGATTTCTGAAAATGAATAGAAATTAGCATGCTTCTACACTCACAGGAAATTTATTACCACTATAGTAATAGCTAAAAATGATCATTGCTAAATCTCTTGAGTAAGGAATCTATGGGTTTTACACATAACGCCCCAACATCAACAGTACAAGTATGAGCCTACTCTTTCCCGAGTCCTCCTACAGCTGTGCTGTTTGAAACATTCTGAAGAAAGATTGATGCTCAGATGGGTTCTGGTTCATAAAAGCTATTGGCCAAACACTCAGCTGTCAGGATGTGTTTTTGGAGAATGTTCCTTTCACCCACCTTGACACAGTTCTGCTGACACATGTGTGCACCATGTGGGAGAAATCCACATATGTTCTGGGAGCCATGTACGCACATCCTGGGAGTCAGCATACGAAGCATGCTGTGTAAGCAGAGCTGAGATTCCTTTTCATATGGCTCTTATCTGGGTGATGCTCAGGAAGAAGCATTCTCTTTCCCAAGAAGTGTCCATCTCTAGATTCTAAGTGTGGAGCCAGTGTGTGGTGCAGCAGTTTGTTCCCTTGAAGAAAACGCCACATTGCAGATTCCTGACTCTAATGAAAATGCTGTGGGAATTCCTGAGACTGAGTACGCCTTGAAGCTAAAAAGGTTCCTCTAGATTTACCATGCATTTCCCAGTGTTCTTTCTTGAATTGGAATATAAGAGTGCATTCGAGATAATTCTGTCAGGTCACATTTAAGATCAAACATTTTTTGATACCATAAAATAAAGATAATCAGAATTAAAATTATTGCAAAAAGTACATTGTCCTCTCATCAAGGAATTAAATTTATCATTCTGTTTGAAAGAATTAAAAAAATGCTCAGGAAAACAAAACAAAACATGAAAGAGTAGTTCCTAAGACACTGGGTATAGTGAGGGACAGGGATACAAGAAGGAGACAGTAAGAAAAGCTTCATGACATTGGTTTACCAGGAACTTCTTAGATAAAGCAACAAAAACATGACTGGAGAAGCCAAGAAGGTCTTGGCTTTACTGCTATAAATGTCACCTAAGCAGACACACATTGTGGGCTTGGTCTCAGATCTTGCTGCTAGTGGGAGGTGGCAGAAACTTTCAGTGGTGAGGCCAGTAGGAAATCTTCAGTTCACGGAGGGTGTGTACACAAGGGGGATTGTGGACCTGAGTCTCCTCTCTCTTTGTTCTCTGGCTCACCAAGAAGTGAGTGCTTTCACTGTTACACACTTTCTGTCTTAAGGGGGCTGCTCTGTTGCCACTTGCCCAAAAGTACCAGGCCAAGCAGGCATAGACTGAAAGTCCTGAAATTATGAGACAAAATAAACTTTTCTCTTTATGAACAGCTTATCTCAAACATTTTTAAAGTAATGGAAAGCTAGCAAATTCACTACAATTTAAAACTCTGGGTTGGGGAGATGGCCTGTAGGTAAAAGAATCTGCTATGTCAGTGTGAAGACCTGAGCCTGGATCCCCAGACCCACAGAAAAGCTGAACACGTAGTTAGAGATCTGTATCCCAGCATTCCTACAGGGAGATGAGAGATGGAGACAGGAGACACTCTAGAAGCTTACAGGCCAGCCAGCCTGGCATGCTGAGCAGGAAAGTAACACAGAGTCCCTCTCTCCAGGAAGGTGGTAGGTGAGGACCAACTCCAGAAGTTGTCCTCTGACCTCCATATGCATGCTGTGGCACATGAACATTCATGTAAAACTTCTCTTCAAAGGACATTTTAAAGAGAATACAAAGAATAGCCACAGGCTGGGAGAAAATAATTACAAATCATATATCTAGTAAAATATGTGTAGCTAGTCTATTTAAAGACTTCACAAAACTAAATAACCAGTAAACAATAAAATTTAAAGAAAAAAAAGAGCAACAGATTTTAATGGACCTTAACAAGGAAGACAGAAAACTGGCAAATGAGCGTATGTGAAGGTGTTTAACCTCATCCATCATCAGGAAGTGCAACTGAAAACCACAGTGAGATCCTACTACACAAGGAACAGGATGGCCCAGGCTTAAAAGACTAACCATGCCAAGTGTTAGTAGCTAGGATGTGGAACAATCTGAATACTCAGGCACTTCTTATGGGAATGTAAAACTGTGTAACCACTTTGGTGAAAAATCATCTTGGCTTTTATTTTTTATTTTTATTTTTTGGCTTTTTTTTTAACATGAAAATATCTATACTATCCTCCAAGAATTCCACTACTTGGTATTCCTCCAAGAAATGAAAAAGAGTATGTTTGTAACAATGACTGGTGCAGAACTGTTTGGTACAGATTTATAGCAAATAGTTTGAGCTGGAAACAGGGCAAATGTTCATTAACAGGTGACAACACCCATGGATTATGGAATGTCCACTTGTTGTGTTACCACTCGGAACCTCCAGAAAACAGAACACTCCAGAGCTCCAGCAGCATGGACGAACCTCAGTAAAGTCATGTCTACCGAAGGAGCCGACACAACAGTGTCCTGCCCACCTCACACACTCCTATGAACACCAGGAAAATGGACACCAAATGGACAGCAACAGAAAATAATCGAGAAAGGCAATTGGACAGTGGGAGGTAGGAAGGAGGAAACTTCTAGATTTGGATGTGGTCACTAGCTTGATTGTGGCGACAGTCTTGTGGGTCTACACATAAGTCAAAACTTAAACTATGTCTTTCAAATTTGTTCAGCTTATTTTACACCAACCATACCTCAATAATAAAATCCTCAAACACACTCATTTATTTTGAGAAATTTCACAGAAAATCAGCCTAGAGGGCACAGTTATTTATCAACTATAGTGAAGGCTGGAGAATGTTTGGTGTCCTGCTCTGTCACTCTCTGCCTTATCCCCTTGTAAGAGAGTCTCTCACTGAATCTGGAAGTAGATTGGCAGCCAACAAGCCCTAGTGATCCTCCTGCCTCTGTGTGCAGCCATGCCTGGCTTTTTAGATGGGTGCTGGGGATCTGAACTCAGGCCCTCATGCTTGCTCAGCAAGCATTCTCACCCACTGAGCTACCTCCTTAGGTCTACATACAAATGTTGATGCTACTCTTGCTTGTCTGCACAAAGAAGAGAATTCATTGAGAATGAACAAAAGACCCTACTCTAATCTCTACTAAGAAGGCCTTTCAATGTGATCAATAGAAGGAAGTACATCTTTCTTCCTGTAGTCAATGTGCTGCCATAACACTGTACACAAGATGCTCCACACCTCTGTGTGTCTTTTAGGGTGTGTGTTGGAGAATGGCACTACTGTGCTCCCCAAAGTTTACCTACCATCATCTTGAATTTCCAAGACTTTCCACTAAACCCCACTACAGTGGCCAATCTACTTATCACTGAGTTCATCCTGAAAGAAATTTGACTCCTGACATTGGAAAAGCTCAGAGAAAGCAGAAATCTCGGTGTAAAACACAAGAAAGTGGCATTCTTCTATCAATCCACCCATTAACAACACAGAAAGATAACACTGCGCTGATGCAAACCAACTTCTCTTTCATAATGCTGACCACTGAGCCTGCCAACATTTTCCTTCACAGAGAAAAGCAAGTTATCATTCAAATCGTACAGGCCAAACCTGGACAATAAATTCTTCAACAGAAAGTATGGAAACTTTACAAATATGAAGAACTAATTTAGCACGGCCACATACAACATTCTTTGAGCCAGAACTGGAAAAGCTGCTTACAAAGTGAAACAAGAAACACAGAGAGAATGATCTCAATTGATATGTTGTGGAAACTGCTAACCAATGCTCTGCTATATCTTTGATTGATGAAATGAGAAACAAGTGCCAAATCTACTTTCTGTATTTACACAGAACAAGAAAGCTGCATCCTATGAAGAATGATGAATATAGGAGTCAAAGTCTGGCAAAGATTGAGATGATCCAAGCTGGCCCTGGACCACTAATAATGTTTTTGAAGGACTGGGTTATAAGATTAACAGTTGTAGAAGATGAACGTTGTTTACACAATGTTAAAGCAAACGTTTTTATTAACCAAATATTTCCTAAATTGCAAACAAAAATGTGAAACTCTATCTGACACCTGTAGCAAATCTGAGGGCCTTCCCTGGTCCAGGGCACCAAGCCATACCCTTTTTCTACACAGGCTTGCTCCAAGGTTAGAAAAAGAAAAACTGCCTTAACTGGATTTTAACTTTTATAGTCGCCCTCTGAATCTTTCACCCCAATTCTTCCCACAGCCCTGTGAACACAGCTCTCTGGCTCTCTTGGGTCAATGCTGACTGTGTGTATATGGGTGTGTGTGTGTCATTACTGACCTTTGACTTCAGGACGACCAAGGGCTCTACTTACATCATGCATGGAGTCTAGAAGCTTGGTCAGTTGGTAGAACCTCTGCCAGCTCTGCCCAGAACTGTTGGGACACTTAGTGACCATCTTCCTCAGCTCTTTGATGTAATTTGTCCTCATTTCTTCAAATGCAGCCTGGCTCTTGAGACCATCTTTTGGAACTGTGTTAAGGAATACAAACATGTAAATCCCCCCATGTGAAACAGAAGCTTTAGCATCTTAGCATGGCCTCAAATATTTTAAACTCATATACTGATGATGAGGCTGGACTCCACCTTAATTGCATTTATGAATAAATATGATAGTTATGTACTTGGCAAACATTTGCCCATACACATACACAAATAAGTAACTTATGTATTAGAAGTAAGTTACTACTTTATATATTATCTTATTTTGTCCTGACACCAATATTAGGACATAACTTTCTATTATTCTCATTTACAGATGAGGAAATTGGGCTGGAGACTGAATCATTATTATGGAATGTGAAATAAGTCCACAGCAGCTCAGGGGCTGTGTAAACTGAGTCTGTTTTCAGTGTTCGCCTCTAACCACCATGCCACATGACCAGTGGCCTGTCTTCAGAATATTTTCTGAATTCTCCTGCTAGCCTCAGCTTACACTGTCTGTGGCTCTTCCCATTGTTCCATAATAGTGAAATCTATTTTCCTACCTCTAAGCTATTGGCTACTAGAATTAGCCACTTTTAACTTTGGTGATGTATAAGATGAAGGATTGTGTTTTCTTCTTTTATTTAATGGCTAGGTTTTACATTGAAACAAAACAAAGTTCATTTACAAAGAATTCTTTGGGAGGTCAGTGGCACAGCACTTGTACATAATTAGACACTCCCCATCCCCCCAAAATGGACACTCTGGGACTCCTGACTTTGAGCATTCAAGTATTTCTATGCTTTGCTGCAAGGGGCCGCTTCCTGGACAGATGTGAAAGGATGACGGAGAAGGAGCTACAGTCAGAGATGCTCATTTGAAAAATCTATGTCCATGCTTCGTTTTCACCATGGCAAATAAGAGGCAACACTTCAGCTTTGACTCTGAAGAATGAGATTATGTGGAACTTTTAGGAGATGGAGATTTCATGAAGATTCACCTTGTGATGTTAAGTGTTGTGAGTCGAAACTGCTCTTACTTCTTAATTACACTTGTTTGCTAATTTTTTGTAACTGGTATAAATAGTAATTCCTTGAGTCATCAGCACTTTAGACTCTCCAAGAAGAGTTTCTGGGTAGTATCTGTGAGCATGGAAGCCAAGTATACAACTGTCTCCAAATAAGCTTTATTTTCCCAAATAAAGATGTTAATTATCTTATAAATTAACTCCCACTATGGTGCTGATAATCTGGTGGAGTTTGATTACTGATACTTTTGATTTGTGGCTCACTTAAATCTATTTTTGTAGGGGGTGAGAATAAATTCCTAAAAACAACTGCACAAATTCTTGAGGCTTGTCAAATAGTAATTGTGGCATTAAATATCTGATTTTCAAAGTAAGACTTAAATACCACCCATTACATAAGAACTAGTTTCTTTTTAGAAGTTTAAAAAGGAAGAAAGGATGTAAATAAGCTTGCAAACACCAGCCTACACTGCTTGTCCAGAGATTAACAAATTTTTATATATAAAACCATTCAAAGTAAGTCTTTTCCAATGGGTGCCTATATGATGAAGGCCACCCTATACAATGAAAAATGATCTCCTATTGCAAGAAAGTGAGTGTATTTTTCTGTTCTATTGTACTACTATTTACTACAACAACTAAGATTAACTAAACCTCATGTTTCTTATAGTTGTGTTATCAAAAAGTCAAGATTATATTATCTTATGTCAAATATTATTACTTACATTTTATTGCTGTAAATGTAATCTACTGAAGTATATTAGACCAATTTCCCAGCTAGATTTTTTTTAGAAGTTGAAATAAATCAACAAATAAAGGGAAGTTAGGCAAAACCTCAAATTTTGGAGGTCTGCCCAGAATTTCTGAATTTACTTATTAAATGCAGCAGTCCTGCTGGAAAACTTCCAGAAAATCTACAGGCTGGGGAAGAGAAGAACGACAGGAAGGTAGGAGCCAGTCTGCTTGCCTCTGCACGCAAAGAATGGGAGGTTCTTTTGCTATCAGTACTAAACCCTGAGGTGCTGGCCATCCATTATGTAATTTAGCATTCTGAAAAAAGAACAATTTCAAATATTCAATCACAGATTAGCGAATAATCCCACTAAAACTCACAGTTTCTGTGATTCCTGAAATTTTTATATTTTCTGTCATTTAATTCCCCCCCCGCCTTTTTTCGCTTGTTAAAATCAGAATTGAAAGCACTAAGTTAGTTGCAAGCTAATAAATAAATTTGGGTAGCTTCAAAATGATATCAGAAGCTGTTAGAGGCTAAAAGAGTAAATAGATATAAACAGGATAAAGTACGAATTAAGTCCAAGGTGTCAGCATTTATAAAGCATTAGTAGCACAGGTGTTTAAAAAGTTCATCTCATTAAAGTCTAACTTCTGCCTAACGATTTTTAGAAGTAATTTTTTAAAAATTACCTCTACTAAATGGAAAGATAATTTTTAAAAAGTTATGCTACAGGGAGAATAAGTTAGGAATGTGAGGAAGCCCCTGACTGGACAGGGGACAGGGAGAAAAGCCCTGCTCCTTTGTGTAGACTCTGTGCATTGAGGAGTTTGCCAACAGAAAAGCTATAGGAGATGGGCTGTGTACAATAGTTGTGAGGGATGGTGGGCCTTAGTGAGGGATGGTGGGGCCTTAGTGAGGGATGATGGGCCTTAGTGAGGAATGGTGGGCCTTAGTGAGGGATGGTGGGCCTTAGTGAGGGATGGTGGGGCCTATGGCAAACTAGAGAGGCAGAACCCTGCCCTGGGCATCAAATTCAGTAAGAATAAAATAAAGCAAAAGGCCAAGAGCACCCTCCAAACCAAACACAGCTGTGAAGCAGCTGTTCTGGCCAGGTTTGCCCTGTGCTCCAGGACCCACCATTCTGTCTCAGGTTCACTGGCCTCCTGCTGCCTTCATGCCCCTCTGCAGCAGCCAGGGAGTAGGCTGGGAGGGCAGGAGCAGCACTGAAGGAGAAGTGCTGGGTCCCGGTCCTAACTCACATAGACTGACAAATACTTAGGGGCTCCTTTTTGTGTGCTTTCTAATGGGGCTACAAAACTCTGCTTTAAGAAACCAGGCAATACATACAAGGCATACCAAACTGTGAGGTCCAGCATTCACAAGGTCACGTCATCCATAGTTCCCCTGCTCTGAGTCCTGATTCAGGCTTGCTTCTCCTCAGAACCAGCTGGAAAGTTACCTCTACCTGCCTGCTCTACCCTGACCACCTCAGTTCTCCCAGGCTCCTTCTTTCAGAAGACTCTCCTAAATACTCTCCCTCCTCCCAAACCCTTTACAGAGCGCTAGAGAGGCTGGGTGCAGACTGCATGCTCCCTTTACACATGAACCACCCTTGCCTTTTTATGCTACTTGCATTGATATCTTTGCTGGCTCCTGACCTCTAGAGCAGCTCTCAACTCCCTCAGTGGCTACAGTACCTTGATCTAGAGTTCCCTTCTCTTATCATCTAACATTGTTCCAGATTTCACCTCATCCCACGTGCGTGTCCTCAAATTCTCCCCCCCCCCACCAAAAAAAAGTCCTGCATCAGTGTCTGATGAAGCCCTGCCAATGCCTTTGCTAAGGCTACTCCTGTCCTCCCTTGTCTCCTGGGGCACTGAATGCCATCAGCTTTCTCTCGGCTTCTCGACTTTCTCTGTACAAGCCACGCCATTCGTTATACCCATCTTGAATGCTCGGCTCTGGGCATCTCACGCTTGTACTCTCTCAGCTCCTGACCTCCCTGGCAGTCTCCTCTGACCCTTCTGCCTCTACCATCACCATTAACAAGGCCCATTGGCTCTTAGCTCTTCATTCAGGTCACAGCCTATGGTATGAATGTGAAATGTTTTGAGGTCTCATGTTTTGAACACTTATTCCCCAGATGGTGGTACTATTTGGGGGCTTCCTGGAAACTTTAAGAGGTGGGCTTAACTGGAGGAAGTAAATCACTGGAGATCCATCCTTCCTTTTCCTGTTTCTGTTTCCTGTCTCCTCTGTCATATGTTGTCAGCACCCTGAGCACTTGGGGTCAACAACCCTGGACTGGAGCCTCTGAAACCATGAGCCAAAATCAATCTTTCCTCCTTGAAGTTGTTTCTCTCAGGTATTTGGTCATAACAATAACAAAAATAATATACATAGTAACCTTATTTACCATTTGAGTCTAAACTATGAATTTCCATAAGGATAATCCATATTTCAAATCTGACTTCTCAGTTTCAGTCTCAAACTTCCCTTATCTTTGGGCCATCTCCATTAAGATACAGAGTGTGTAAAAAAATTAACCAATTGAGAACTAGAACTCATTTTATATGCCACAAAATGCTCTCCGAGTCCCTCCACTGACACGTTCTGGTTCCAGGCATCTCCTGTGAGTTACTGCTTCTTTGTGCATCACTGAGAACATTGCTTCTATTTTATTCTAATCCACTTTCACCTTCCGTCTAGTCAGTCACAAAGAACAGATCTGCAACTGGTCCTGAATAAATGTGTTTACCATGTGACCAGTTACCAGTCACCATCTGCCGTCTGCCTGCCTTTCCTGGCTCTTCCTCCTCTAACCTGTTTGCCTGTTGGGTAAGTTTTTGTGGACCTATAAAATGCAGCTTTGATTCTGTCACCCTGCCCCTCTACTCAAAAGCCTTTGGGGTTGTACTTGTCTGTCTACGTGATAAAATTTTTTCACTGGCAATTGAATACATCTGGCCCAATAGACACCCCCACTTTATTCTTCTCTGTAGCCCAGCATAATTTGATGATCTTGACAAATTAACTGAATGAGTACATAAAATAAAACCATTTAAAATTAACAGGCCAAACAAGTGCCCTGCGAAATTAAGTGCTATTGCTTTCATATGCCCCCATCTGTACCCTACACATGATTAGATCAGTCCCACTCCCAACATGAAGAGCATAAAGAGACACTACTTCTCATATCCAATCTAGAACAATCTAAGATCCAGCTGGGTCATGCCTCGCCTCCCCGACTACATAACTCAAGTGTTCTTTATTTGAGCCACCAATACACCCTTTTACAACTCTGTCATTGATCAGCATGGTTCATAATATATTCAGTTTGTCCTTGAATGTATCTGACAGGATAAGCTCCCTGAGGGCATCTTACAAGACATACTACCAGACACTTAATAAACAGTAGTCACTGGGTGAGTGAAAAGGGTGTTTAACATATACAAAATTTTGTAATTAATAAGTAACTTAGTTCATCCAAGGCCAAACCCTCTTCCTATCTCTTCAAAATTTCTTTTCAGAGGGTAGGTACCAACTCTCTGAGTATTACAAATGGGCTACTGTCCTGCAGAGAAGATGATCTGACAATGTAGAAAAAGTGCCAGGGTGGACATCAATATACCTGTGCTTAGTAGCAGCAAAACCTTCATTATGGTGTACTCTTCAAAGGTCAGCTGCAGTCGCACGAACTGAAGGCTGATCTGGTGCATCCCTTGGCACAGTTCATACATGGCAGACTGATGCATCTTCTCTCTGCAAAGGAAAAGCAGCAGCATGTGTAAGAAGGCAGCCCAGGCTGACAGCCCAAGTCAGCCCTGAACCCATTTCTTCAAGTTCCAACACGAAGCAACTTCTGCATTTTAAAAACAAGCTAGATGCCTTTCAGAGTGCCTGGCAAGTAAATAGAGTTTAGACCAGTCCTCCTGAGCCATTTACTAGCACCGTGTGAGATCACAGGAGAAGCACTGATAATTCTTTCAGGGCATCATGATTCCCTTTCATGTTAAGGGTTATGCTAATGGATGGTAGTGCTGTGATGAGATCTGTAAAACAGAGCAACTGTAGTGATGTGGTGTGAAGCACCGAGACTTGTTCCCTTTGGGTTGCAGGTGTGGCACATTGACTATTTGGAGAGGACTGGACTAGATGCTATGAACAGAGGTCAGCAGTAACCAAGCTTATTTCCACATGGGCCCTCCTTACAGAGGTCATCGAGTATGTCTGTTAACTTTCGATCAACATGTTATACAGGAAATTGAAGATAATTTAGAAAGATGAGATCTCCAATTAGAGTTGGCTCTGATCAAGAGAGGCAGTGACACGGTCACCCACATGGCCAACCCATCCCCTCACTGTACCATCCAAATATTCCCATGAAAATTTACACTCTATGACAACAGAAGTCATTCTTTTCTATTTCCTTGAGAAGTAAGCAATGAATCACATTATTTTTTGATGTTATTCAAAGTGATGTGTTTGTTAGGAGGCCCTGCACAACTAGTCTTGTGACCATCCTAGAAAAAAAAGTAAGACAGATGGCGAGACAAGGAAAAGACGTGCCAGGTCAGCACAACAGGAAAGAGGGCATGAGGCCTGATGCGTTTCTCCAGTGCAACAAGGCAGGTGGGCACCCGATGGAAAGGGGCACTGCAGCTGCCTCCTAGGTGCCAGGTATCTCTTCCAAGTGGTAACACATAAGGAACCACAGGGAAACCATGGCACATCGCTCCAAACAGCATCATCATCTTCCCTCTCCCATCATAAGCTAGAAGATAGTTAAAATTAATAACATACACACACACACAGTAGTAGCAAAAAGCCTATAGATCTAACATCTAGAATTAACCATGTAACATATGCTAACACTATTGCAATATTTGATTTAGATTTTTAGACATCTTCATCATTGCACATCAGAGTCCTGCTCTCCCTTCTTCCTGTATCTGACCCATGTCTTCCTCGTTTGAGATGGGAACACCCAGCTTGAGGGATTATCATGTTCTCCCAGATGTGTGTATTAACTGTACATATGTGTCTATAAAACAATGTAGAAGCCTGAATTGTCATACAGATATTTGAAACTAGAGATGTACATCCTTCAGCAACTAGTTTTCATCCAATTCTGAGATGAATCCATTTTGATACCAGTAATTCTCAGTGAATTCACTCTAGCCACTTCAAACTTTGCTTGTGTAAATACATCACAACTCAAGAGTTCTTTAAAATGTGTGTGTGTGTGTGTGTGTGTGTGTGTGTGTGTGTGCGTGTGTGTATTTATGTGTTGTGGAGGCCTCAGGGTATTGGATCTGTTGGAGCTGGTGTTAAAGGCAGTTTTGAGCTGCCACACGTGGTGGCTGGGAACTGAACTTGGGTCTTCTGCAAGAATATTTAAGTGCTCTTAACCCCTGAGTCATCTCTCCAGCTCCCAAAACAGGTTACATAATCAATTTGTGGAGGGAGGGACATATGGTTTTTTGCCTTTTTATTGCTGTTACAAAGAAGACCCAAGGAGCACCCTATGCGCTTCCAGAGGACAAAGCAGGAAACAGAACTGCTGAGTCAGGGCTTCCTGTCCATCTGCAAGGCTTCTGTCCACCAGCAGGGCATGTGAGGGCCCTTTCTTTCCACACTCCACTCCATTACACTATCCAGTTCCAGATAGTCTGCCATCCCATGAGCAGATGTTAAAGGGCAACAAATAATTGCTTTTATTTTCCATTCCAATATCATCAACACGCTCAACAATTTTTTTCCAAATTTTCACTGACCATTTCTTCTTTAGTGATTTCTTTTTCTTTCTTTTTCTTTTTTGAGACAGGGTCTCCCTGCAGCCCCAACTGGCCTGGAACTCACTATGGAGACCAGGTTGGCCTTGAACTCACAGAGATCTGCCTGCCTCTGCCTCCCAAGTGCTGGGATTAAAGGTGTGCGCCACCACGCCCAGCATAGCAATTCATTTTTTTACATTTTTGTCCATGTTATACATTTTTATAGTTCTATTATTAAGTAAAACCATTTTAATTTTAAAATTTTATTATTTTTTAAATTATTGTTATTATTAGTCAGGTTTCATGTAGCTCAGGCTGGCCTCAAACTTGTTATGTAGCCGAGGATGACATTGAATTTTTGATCCTCTTGCTTCCATCTCCCAAGTGCTGGGATTATAGATGTGCAATGCTAGACATGGTTTATTTGGTGTTGGGGATCAAACCCAGGTCTTTGTGAATGCCAGGCAGGTACTCTACAAACTGAGCTACATCCCTAGCTCTTATTTTCATTTTTTTAGGGGACAGGGCTTTGCTGTGCTATCCATGTTGTGCTCAAGGGATCCTCTTGCCTCAACCTCCAAATACTTGGGACAACAGGCATATGCCACCATGCCCCCCCCCCCTTTTGGTCTTTTTGAGACAGGGTCTCCCTGTAGCCCCACCTGTCCTGGAACTCACTATGTAGACCAGACTGGCCTTGAATTCACAGAGATCCACCTGCCTCTGCCTCCCAAGTGCCTTTTTATTCTTAATATTTTCGGCCTTAAATTTTTTTGTTGTGTTTTCACGTCTTCTCTTTCTCCCTCTCTCTTTTTTTTCCTCTTTCTTTTAAGAAACACTTAATTTTTTCATTTTTATGTGTATGAGTGCTTTGCCTGCATGTATATGAGTGCACCTGTGTTGTGCAATGGTCACGGAGGTCAGAAGAGGGCATTGGATCCCCTGGAACTAGAGTTAGGAGCAGTTGTTAGCCACCACGTGGGTGCTGGGAATCGAACCCAGGTCCTCTGCAAGAGCAGCCAGTGCTCTTAACCACCGAGCCATCTCTCCAGCTCCCTTTCTTGATAGAACTTGCCTGATATGTTCTCTTCTACTTTCTTTTCAAATTTGCCACGTGTCTAATACTCAGCAAAAAAAAAAAGGAGCCAAATTTAAATACTGAGAGCCTCAGAGTTTTTTTTTTTTTTTAAACCATTTTCCAATCCCAAATATTTTGCCATTTTAACAGCTTGCTGTAATCTGTTTTCATTTATTTTGAGGAGTAACCCCTTTGGTTTTTCTCCCCCGTTTAAACTTTCTTCCCTCCCTTTTCCCTTCTTTCCCTCTTTTCCTATTTTCTTTCCTTTAACTGGATCGATGTGAGTTGAACTCCTCTCCTTGTGCCTCTACTGGATTTAGAAGGTGTACGTCTTATTTTTGCACTTCTAATGTTATTCTTAAATGAAGAACTTGCACAGTTAAGATTCTAAAGCTAAGCAGCAGCTTTTCCAGGGGAAAGGGAAACGTGAGAACACAGGCCTCCATTCTGCTCTTTCCCACTTTCCCCGTGAATCCTCTTCGGTGTGTGGAAGCCATATGTTCACATCACCGTTGAAAGCAGTGTCTCTCACACACCACGTTTGCTCACATTTACTAGCATGTTTGGTAATATTCCTCTTTTCCTCCTTTTTGTAGTGGTAGGGATTGAACCCTGGGCTTGTACATGCCAGGCAGGCAAGCACTGTGCCATGCAGCCCCAACCCCACCAGTGAGTGTGGACTCACCAGTCTTTGTTGGAGCCGTCACTCCCTGTCCATCATGCCTCACTTCTGGGTTTAATTTCTTACTGAAGAAGATATTTTAGCGATCCTTTCAGCTGAAGTTAGTTGTTGAATGTTCAAGTGTTTTATTTCAACCTGTCTGAAGAGCCTTTACCTTCCTTCTTAGATAATACCTTATAAAGATAGAGCTTGAAAGGCAGTTCCCCCTTCAGGGCTTTGAAGATAGTATTCCACGATGCCTGGACCTTCAGCCTTGAGAAAATTTCCAAATAGTCTGCAATTCTTTCATAGGTAACCTGAATTCTCTTTGGTAGAATTATATATTTTTTCTTTATCTTATGCCTGAAGTTTGTGATGTACATAGGTCCAATGTGATTTTTTTTCTTTCTCTTGTTCAAGACACAGTGCTATTGTAGACCTATAGGTATATTTTCAATTCCAAAACGTCCTTAGCCATTGTTTCTCCAAGGATCACCTTTATTCCATTCCTATCAGTTTTTTAATTTTTAAAGATATTTTATTTATTATTTTTATTTTGTGTGTATGAGTGTATTGCCTGCATGTATGTAAGTGCACCTGTGTCGTGCAATGGCCATGGAGGTCAAAACCAGGCATCAGATCCCCTGGAGCTGAAGTTACAGATGGTTGTTAACTGCCATGTGGGTGCTGAGAATCAAACCCTAGTCCTCTGCAAAAGCAGCCAGTGCTCTTAACCTCTGAGCCGTCTCTCCAGCCCCCTCCTAACAGTTTTAAACCCCTGTTAGTGGTATATCTGGCCTTCCTGTTGCTTCTTCTGTACTAACTTCTCTTTTCTATTTATTGTTGTCTTAGGATCTGCATTCCAGGTAATTTTTCTTAGATCTATTTTCCGATTGAATATTTTCTTCCTTGTCTATGTGAAATCCACTGTTTAATGTCTACAGTTACTTAAATTTTTGTGGCAATATTGACCATGTCAAGCAGTTTAGAAATAGTCTATTTAGTTCTTTTGCAAACATTCCTATTACTTTCCACCAGACATTTCTTCTTTCATGGCTATTATATCTCCTTTTCCATTGCTAGACATTTTAAACATGCTTCTTTTATAGTTTTTGTTAAGATTTAAAAATTATTTTTTAGGATGCTAATACATATGTCTAGAGTGCATTATTTTGGCATAAACTCTTTTGAGTGAATCCCATGGGTACTGGCTGATGGAATGCTATGGGTAGTTCCTGCATTTAAA